TTCTATTTGTAGGTCTTTGTATTTTGTTATCTTCCTCCAGTTCTTATATCTGTAATAACATCAAACATCCACATCTGCCTATCCCAGGTCCTTGCTAAGGACTCGATAGGTAGACAAAATGCCAAATCCATTCTGAACATCTGGCTGTCTGTGCGATGATCCATAATAATAATAATAATAATAATAATAATAATAATAACAGAGTTGGAAGGGACCTTGGAGGTCATCTAGTCCAACCCCCTGCTCAGGCAGGTAACCCTATACCATTTTGGACAAATGGCTGTCCAGTCTCTTCTTAAAAACTTCCAGTGTTGGAGCATTCACCGCTTCTGGAGGCAGGTTGTTCCACTGGTTAATTGTTCTAATTGTCAGGAAGTTTCTCCTTAGTTCCAGGTTGCTTCTCTCCTTGGTCAGTTTCCATCCGTTGCTTCTTGTCCTGCCTTCGGGCGCTTTGGAGAATAGCTTGACTATGCCTGTCAGATGGTTGCAAAAGGGCATGTCGTGACTCCAGGACATTGCAACCGTCATAAATATGAGTCCAGTAGCCGAGTGTCCAAATTTTGATCACATGATCACATGACCCTGGCAAAATTGTGTTGCTAAGGAAAGCAGTTGCTAAGCAAATCCTGCAGTTCTTAAGGGAATCCTGCGGTCGTTAAATGAAACCGGCTTCCCCCGTTGACTTTGCTTGTCGGAAGCTGGCTGGGGAAGTTGCAAATGGCCATAAATATGTGCCAGTTGCCAAGGCCACAAATTTTGACCATGTGACCATGTTAGTAAGTTAGGTTGTTAAATGAATCTGGCTTCCCCATTGATTTCGCAAAAAGGGATCCCAGGATCCCGTGACGCTGCAACCACCATAAATATGAGCCACTGTCCGAATTTTGATCATGTAACCATGAGGATGCGTTAACGGTCATAGGGGTGAAAAATGGTCATAAGTCACATTTTTTAGGGCTCCTGTAACTTTGAAAAGTCACTAAACAAATTGTTGTAAGTCGAGGACTACCTACATAGGACCCTGAATCTGAAGCCAATTCTGTCCCTGGTTCTTGCACCTTGTTGAAAGCCAGCTGGGGTGGTTTTGGGCACGGCTGGCTGGGGAATTCTGGGAGCTGAAGTCCACAAGTCTTAAAGTGGCCACGAGGTTGGACCCCCTTGCGGTAAGGGATTAGGAACAGGAGGGAGGTTGGCTCTGAGAACTTCTGCTCTCCTTGCAGGTTGTCTTGTTAGGAGACCATAAGCAGCTGAGACCCGTGATCCACAGTGACTTCTGCAAGAAGCTCGGGATGGAGAGGTCCCTCTTTGAGCGCTACCATAAAAAGGCTGGGATGCTCAACATCCAGTATCGCATGGTAAGGATTTCTCTGCCAGGAAGTACAACGTAATACTGTCCGAGAAACCAGGAGACAGTGAGTTCTAGTCCCGCCTTAGGCGTGAAAGCCGGCTGGGTGACATTGGGCCAATCACCAGGAGACGGTGAGTTCTAGTCC